TTAAAATAAAGCACAGCTATTGTGCAATACATTTGTATTGCATGTATAATTTTTATTTGTAAAAATGTCAGTTAAAGCTTAAAAATAAAGATAGTTTTGTTATCTAAACGTTTGACCTCTTTCTTTTACAATTTTGGAATTGAAATGGGGAATCGATAAGAACCGGAATCGATAAGCAGAACCGGAATTGGAATCGGAATCGATACATTTCAAACGATACCCATCCCTAGTCACAGTATCACCTCAAAATACAAGATACGAAACATTTTCAACCGTGCAACAAAATATAAATAGTCCTACAAATATTTTTATTTTATTTCCTTCTTATTTTTGTGTAAGCTCAAGGGAGAGGGTTTAAAGAGCTGCATGCGGCTCGAGAGCTGCATGCGGCTCGAGAGCCGCGGGTTGCCGACCCCTGGTCTAGGTGGATTATATTCTCTTCATATAAACCAAAACTCTTTCTAAGAGATCAAGTTACCCCTTCTTAACATCCTACTGGCTATATATATTTATATATAATGTATTTGATGACCAAAAAATGCACCTCGACAGTTTTTGGGAGGAGAAACAAGATTTTTCAATTAAACTATTTATCCCTTCTTTTTTCTTCAGTTAAATTATAGATTTGTGACTTATTTAAAGATCTTTGTCTAAGTCGGAACAAGTAAGGTGTGTGCTGAGTGCCACAGAGAGTGGTTTTGGCCTTCCATTGGATTTGTTGATGGTAAAATAAAATAAATCGATCACCAGCCTTTTTTTAAGTACACAACAGTATATAAGCCTGGTCTATGTCTCTTTTCAACCCTTGTTGTTGTTGTTGTTGTTGTTGTTGTTGTTGTTGTTTTATATTTTAAATGGTTTCAATATTTTTCCTTTTTCGACTACTCTCTCAGTAATTACAATGCGCTGTGGCCTCGTTTTCCGCAACTGAGCTCAACAATCAACACTCCCACATGACACACATCCAAAAGAAATATAGCGCAGAATATCCCAAACACCACTGAAACAACACAGATTCAGGCAAACTGGGAGAACTTGTACTTAGTCACGCAGCCTACAAACAGGGTGGGTCACCTACCCAGACTGATTCTATCTGTCTTGTTTACTGTTATTGCAATGTGAAGAGGTTTCATACTGCAGACTTTATGCACTTGGATTTGCTCTGAGAGACTGAATCAAAAGAGAAAAGCGGGCTGACTCAGAAGTTCAGAGGTGGGTCATGGCATGAAGAGTTCAACACATTACGGTAACCTGCAAGGCCCGATGGCTGTGCTTACTTCTTCCCATCTGTGTCTGATTTGAATTCCTCATGATGGATTCCTCCGTGTTTTCTTTTATCTTTGATAAGACAGAGCTTAATGATGCATCTCCGGCAAATGACACTAGGAAAAATCACTTGAGCGTCCATTATTGTTTTTTCCGTTTTCTATCAGATTGATACCTGCTATCAATGTTGTTTTTTCCTTTCATTATCAAATTAAGGATCACTTTGTTGCCAGGTTTGTTTAGCACTCAACAACTGCATACAGATGTCAAAGCTCTTTTCTCTACGGTCCTTACAGAGGTCAGATCAGGCGGTGCTATAGAATTGAATGAGTTTGTTCGTGAAGAAGTAATACAGAGGCCAAACTATCTATTTTCACCTGCAGATGTGTTGACTCCTAACTTTAACCAATAGGATTCAGACATACACTCTGCCGAGTGAAGCCCAGTCTGTTCTGCTCCTGGGTTTTTCAGTAAGGTCGTTTCAGGTCACCACATGGCAGTAAATCTGCCTGTTAGTGCAGATCAAAAGCAACTCTGTCTCTTCCTTAAGGATTTATCTTGATAAAGAGACAAAGCATTACTCATATTTCTAAATTTGCACTGCAAGAATACTTCCTGTTCATGGATAAGGAATGGAGGAAGTTCAGATTACTCAATTCCCAATTGTCCTTTTGTTTCTTCAAAACAAGTGCCAGGAAAGAGTTCAGGAAAACATCCAGAATGGAGTAATTTAAGTTTCTTCCGATTATCTGCCAAATGCTGTTCTGTTCACTCACAATAACTATTTCATTGAATCATAACGCTTTAATTGAGCTAATGATGCAGCACAAACACTGGCCCTGAAGAGTGTTAACATAAACTTGAATGGAACAGGTTACAAAAAAGTGTAACTATGGAAAATGTATGTCAGTTCTTAGATGAAAATCAAAATGTTATATGCTTATATAAAAGTATCCACGTAAAATCAAGGAGGAAGGTCATGGAAAATAAGCCTGGTTCAAGGTTTACAAATCTCTGTAGGACTCAACTCTGTCTTTTGCGATTTAACAAAAGGGTTCATGTTATTTCTAACTGTGGGTCCATGTATCAAAAGCTCAATTTGAAAGTAGTACATTTACGCAAAAAAAAGTCAGCTATATGTTACAATATATGTTGTTTCTGTTTAGTACACTCTAACATAATACTAAATATCCCAATGACCCTAGGCTTTAACTATTGCTAACAAGGAGGCAAGCAACTGATATTTTAATGAAGGGGTCTGCCAAAATCATCTATAAAAGGCTAAAGATAAATTATATAATGAAGGCGCTTTAAAAGTACTGTATATATGATCCTTTGCTGCACTAATATGCACCATATATTAGGGGTGTAACGGTTCACAAACATTTCGGTTCGGTACGTACCTCGGTTTTTTGGTCACGGTTCGGTTCGGTACGTTTTCGGTACAGCAGAATTTTTTTTCACAAAACAAAACATATATATATATATTTTTTTATTATTATTAAACTGTGAATAATGTATTCACTCAAATAAATACAAAATATAATAAAATAAACATTAAGGTGCAGCATTTCGATGAACTGAAATAATCTGTATTTGAACTTTACTGTAGGCTACTAGTACTCACAAAACATAAACTATTAGTTTTGGGTTTTTAATTATTATTAAACTGTGAATATTCACTCAAATAAATACAAAATATAATAAAATAAACATTAAGGTGCAGCTTTTCGATGAACTGAAATAATCTGTATTTGAGCTGTACTGTACTAGTTCCTAAGCAGCCAGCTTGACATTAGGACTGGCTTGTCATTGTATTTTCATGTTTTTTTAAAGAAAAATGAACTTGTCCACATTGCTTGCCGAAAGGGCAGATCTGCTGGCACTAACAATGTCTCCTGATGTGGAAAAAACCCTCTCTCTAGGGACAGAGGTAGCAGATACAGCCAGGTAGCGCTTTGCTATCATGGCAACATAAGGATATTTGGCGTTTGTAATAGCTTTGGCTCGGTCTGAACTCTCTGCGAGTGGTGGAGGCTTAAATGCTAGTGGGAGTTGGGTTTGCACTTCAGTCTTTTTTTCTTTTGGTACCGGTGATATTCACGTTCGGGTGATGCCTTTTCAAGAGTGTGCAAGTTTGATGTATTGCCAGCCGCGCAACCAATGTTAGTTGAACAATGCCGACAAACAGCTTTGGTTCGGTCCACCTGTCTTTGTCCTTCATCCTTGTACGTAACTGCGAAACCAAAATGTTCCCAAACCGGAGACTTCAATGATATTGGAGGATTTTCGAGCTCAACTTTATCTGCGTTCGCCATTAATTTTCGACAGTTCCTCAAATTACTGACTACATTTTAACGCATCCCTCTGTCCAGCTCTCATAGTATGCCTCTCATCCAATGAAATGACTTGCTCGCTCTATGACGCGTTGAACCCAATGTGAGCAAATTACTCTGAATGCTGCGACGCAGCACCTGAGATTACTTCCAAAAAGTTGTTCACGTTCTCAATTTTTTAGGTTTAACGTTATATTCGTTCGGTACACTTCGGTACACACCTGTACCGAACCGAAGGGCCCGTACCGAATAATTTCGGTACGGGTACGTGTACCGTTACACCCCTACCATATATCAATCCATACGGATGCAGTTTTAGACCTCCTTTGAGGGATGGGGTCCTGCTTGAACCCTTAAAAGTCTGCCATTGTTTTAACAGCTTTGGTCCTTTAGCATGAGATATTTTAATATTTATGACTTTCCTCATTGGTTTGAGCTCAGGAAAAATGCCCCAATAAATGTTGTAATGTTGTTTGCTCATGTTGCCAGGCTACTGTTAATTACTGTAAGTGTGTCAATACCATTCATTCAGAAATATAATCCATGCAGTCCTGATGAGGCAGGCTAGCTACAATTATGAGTGTTTTACTCTTTGTAAACCAAAAAGTTATTTGGAATCTAAAACTTTGATTGTTGAGTCGCAAACATGTATTATAATAGAGAAACGTATGAGTTACTTATCCAGAGCCAGTTGTATTACCTAGCAAAGCAATGTTCTGCTGTGTTTTAATGGTACGTTTGTTCACAAACTCTGTGTTCATGGCCCTTTAAGATTTTAGGAAGTCTGTGTCATTTTCTATTCCCTTGTCATTGTTTTGTAACCTCTCCATATTTGGTACACAACATCCGGCAGCCAAAGAAAGATTCTCCAATCAGGCTTCTACAAGTTTCTCTGTAATATACCTGTGAGCCCTGGGCTCAAGAACATCATCTCCCAGACACTCCTGCTGTTTCCGCCCCTGAACTGCCCAATACTTGTTTTTAAAGGCCACTTTAGACCGAGTGCTCTTTGAGTCTTTTATAAAAAACATAGCATCCCATAATTTCACCTACACCGACTGAATTTGCAGCACTTTGTTGTGGTCCAACAGGATTTTGAAGCATTGACACTGACAAAGGAGGAAATACACTTAACTTATAATCCCTGTACAATCCAACCCTTGCTTTTATATTTTTATAAACTCAAGTAGGGAGTTATCTAGATATAATTATAAATGATGTTATCACATCTTAATTTTTGACACCACAAACCCAAAGTATTTTAAATTGATTCCAGCTCTACAGTTTGACCATACTGTAGATATAGGTGTTTTTAATTACAATATATGTTTATTATCTGAGTCTGTCCTATCTTCATATTCAGTCTTTGCTTCACCTAATTGGATTGTGTTGTTGCAGGACTATGCTGTGTCGACCGTGCCTGTGCTGGAAGGGCTTCACCTGAAAAGCTTCTGCAGCATGGGAGGACCAGGCCTTATCCTCATTGGCTCCAGTGAACATGCACAGAAGACCCTCAAAGTATGGAGTTGGTGTTTGTATGAGTTGTATGTGCAGTAAAAGCATCATCCCATTGCTGTGCTTCCCCCAGCTGTAGTCATAGAAACCACTGAATCAATGTAATGGCATTGTTTTATAACTATGACGCACATTGCAGCTGATTTTTTTTTCGGTTGACTCTTGGCTTGACGCTGTTGGTATTAACGGCTCTATCCTTTTTTTTCTCCTGCTCTGCAAAGTATTCAGCAAGAATAACACTACAAGACAGGACATCACACGTGTTGATTCAGAGCAGACTCCCTTACTTACAACTCGATGGCTGTTTCCCACTGCAAGCACACTGAGACCACCTGTCACCTTAATCCTTCCTCATTAATTCATATTCTCAGTTAATCGGAGGGGATCGCTACAGGCGCTCTCACTCCAGCTCTAACTACAAAGATATTGTCCTTGCATTTAACAGCTTGAGCATCAAAGGCTTTCTGAATCGATTGCTACAAAAGTCCTCATAAAATAAACCAGGGAATGCTAAAGGACTAAAGGACCCTTAAGGAGACACAAATAGGATAATAAGGTTCAGTCCATTCCTCTGAAGGAATTATCCCATAACATGTACACCCATCAACACATAGGACTGTATGTGAACTTTATAGGGCACATAGGGGTAAATGCAGGTGAATATGTACATCAATGTTGTGTTTACACAGCAATGACACACGGGTAATATGTTTGATTTCAAAAGTAATGCCACACACACACACATATACTTGGCCTTTAAAGGTCCTTGCTGGCAGGACCTTTCATTTGCCTCCTAGTGTGATATCTCCCCCTACTGGCCCAACTCCACGGAAGCCATTTGGTGTATGTCAGAAGGGGCAATTGAAACCAGACCATCTGACAGCACATCCCAACATACTTTATAGAGCAGCACATGGTCAGACTTGCTGGTTTTGTATGCATGTTTACATTGCGGAAGTGTACACAAGACGTCAAGAATGTATGCATTACCACATGTTCTCATAAATTATATATCCCAGCATCGACTCATTAAAATTCCTGCCTGTTTGATCACACCAGAGATTAGCTGCCGGGGCGAGGAGGGGCCGTCAGCGAGACTAAATGACAGACTCCTCGCTTTTTAATTACAGCTTACGTCACCCTCTCTTGGAGAAATTAGCTCCTGTTTTAAAGGACCTTTAACGACCGTGGATGTGTAATTAGGTAATGTTCTCGTTGTTGGGGTGTGGGGTGAAATCTCATGAATGCTGTTTTAATTAATTCAAAGTGCTCGTGTTGGATGTAAATGCAGCTCTTATGGCAATGAGGTTGTATACCCTTGGACTAAGACAATGTGAACCAATTAAAGCTGGAGCCTGACTAATTTAAACAGTCTTTAGGGAGCTAGAATGTTGCTGCTATAAAATATTCAGTTAAGAAAAGAGACCCTGGCCTGTTGGCAGAGTGAGGTCTGTATATGTATATCTCACTGACATCTGGTTAATAAGGCTGTTCATTTTCACTCTGTTCAGCAGTTTGGCTTTGTCTCTATCCGGGATGTGTGCTCAGAATGTGTATAAGTGTACGCCATGTGTAGTCTCCAGTCTGTGTTTAGCTCTCCCATGGATGGGAATACACGTTGACCGGATGGATTTCATCATCCATGCCGCTGTCACTGCCAAACTTCACTCATGAAGTCATCATCCCAAAATACTGCCTCCTGTCAGAGGCTGCAGCACCCACTCCCTGTTCCCTCTCACACCTCCCTCCCTATAGCAGAGGCCAGATCTAGTTTACCAGAGAGCCCTTCATTCACTCAGCCCTTGTTTGATTCATGAGGTCATTCTTCTTGCCTGGTCAGGGCTTTGTCTTCACATCAAGGACTTTTTATTTAAAACACAACAAGATGACAACCCTGAGAAGGTTGTATTTAGAATGGTGATTTTTGATAAACACATTGATGCGTTATCTAGTACTTTATGCTGTTGATTATTTAGATATAGGTCTAGGAATTGTGGCTTTAGTTCTTCCAGGGACTTAACAAGTGATTTACTTAACCCTGAGGGAATGGCAATCTAATCTATAGTTTTGAGATATTTAGTTCATTGCTGGATTACAGACTAGAGGACATTGTCTTTCCTAGTGTCACACCGGTATCGTGGCTAAGAAAAAAGGATGAGCTAGGCAGCCTGTTTCATATCAGGAAAAGGACCATATATGGCATCTGAGAACTGGCTTTCCTCACTGATGATGTTATTGAGTTTGTGAGTCAGCCGCGGAGTCCAACAGTATCGAAAGTAGTGAAATAAACATTTATCTTACATCAACAGTAACCATTTGTATGTCCCCTCCAGTAGTTGGAAGTGGCCTCAAGTATGATGTGTCATGCTGCTGTTGTTCATCACTGAAAAAAGTATTGTAAAACTTTTAAAGGCTTCCTGGGAAGGATTACCACAATGAGCATTATAAATATTCATATTAGGCGCCAAAATACAGATTATCTTGATGACCACTGTGAGCCGCATCAGGTCCAGAAAATGTGTCAATGTATTTGTTAACTGGGGGAGATTGCCCAGAGGGGATTTAATTACCTTCCAGTAAATATTTTGTTTCAGCAGCTCTGACTGAGCACATTCTGCTGCCCAGTTACCACTCTGTGTATTAACTGGACCCCGGCAACAGCCCAGATGTAGGTTGATGCTGATTGGCTGAAGCTTTATGTCTGGTCGATGGCCAGGGTGATGGTGTACTGTAGAAGTCTTGGTTGTCCATTTTCACCACACATTTGAGACAGAATAATAATGACAGGCTGACGATTGATGTTAGCAAAACATCTGGAAATCTTACCGTAGCGAAGATAATCCTACCCTTAATTGTGTATTTCTTGGGCCTGAGATAAAAATAATAAAAAACATCTTCAGTATTAATAATACATGAGATAGTTATCTGGCCTTATATCTTAGTAATACCCCTAGGCATTGATGCCAGGAGAACAAACTGTTCCATCCTTCAGGTGAATATCTCAAGATTTATTTGCATTTCATGAATCAGAACATTAAAAAAACCACAATAGGACATATTCCTTAAACCTATAGTTGTTTTGGTTGGGGAATAAGATGTATTTGGGACTCAGAGTGAAGCAGGAACTGTGATATTTGGTAGAGTCAACGCTTATTCTCCCCTCTACCATTTGTAATCCCCCTGTGTGAGAGACAATGTTAGCGGTCACGCACATGGACATTGTTTTCACTGAGGGCTGCTGCACACACCCACAAGTGACCTGGGAATGTATCTGGTCAGATTACACTTACACATACGTACAGTAGGCTCACACAGCATGTACTCAGAAATGGCCATAGCAGCTTGTAGGAAGAACATTTGATTTACCGTTAATTTACTGTTTATTCATCAAAGAAACGTATGTCTAATCTGCTAGGACATACTGGTGTGCTGTTAAAGTTTTGCTTTTGAGTACTTTGCAAGCACTTCCCAGAGATCGCTCATTTAAAAACAGGTCCAGTCGAACGCTTTCCTTGTGTTTCTTTTTAATGGTGGGATATAGTCATACTAACCACAAGATTGGCCTTTTATTTATTCCAACCAAGAACTGTTGCTGCTGCCAGAAACATAAAATGTGTTACTTCCTGCGTGCCAAATAGATTTTTCATGAAAGCCCAGCAGAGTACTTGAAACAGCCCATTTGCTCCTGGGTTGGATCAGTCAAATCTATTTATTTGACAATAACTCCGTTTTTAGTGTCCAAGGACTGTGAGTGTGTTCAGGTAATTATGCAAATAATATAATGCAACGTAATCCAGAGTTCTTTCTTTATCACACAGGAAAGGCCCTTCAGTGGGAAGTGAAAATAAATTATCTTTAGCAACAGAGCCCATTGTGCTCACCAACCTCACTGTTTCCCCCACCCTGTGTGTGGATTTTATGAGAAAAATCTAATCCACATTATGTCCTTTTTTTCAACATTTCAACAGTGATTTTTTGTGTTCTTTTAATCATGACTAAAAAGATTCAACTCCTCTTGCCAATGATTAAAAACTAAAGATACAAGCAGGAAGAGGCGTGTTAGAAAAGCACAGTGGAGTCTACACTATATCTGGTGAAAAAATCTACCTTCTCAAAATACCTTTCCTGAATGTTGACGCTTTTGGATTTTTTTTTTCTTCCATTCCACCTCCCCTCCCCTTTTTGTCTCTAAGGTATCCGTCTGCAGATGTTCTGCTCATAAACATTAAGAGGCACCTGCCTCTCCTCTGGTCATAACATCCTCACCCGCCGACTTCCACTTGGCAACATGGGCGTCTTCTCTGCCTCTCTTTCCCCACCTCCTGTCCTACCTTCAACCCCTTCAGATTACATAAATAACATGACATCTGCTGAGAAAGAATGTCTGTCTGCTCCTGCGTTCTCCATTAAGGCAGAAAGACGCGGTGCTGCTTTTGGTATTGGGCCTTGCTTCAGAATGAAAATACCTGATAGTCTGAATAACGTAATGTTTTCTGTCTGAGTCTGGAAGTCATGTGCACTGCAAACTGCCTGTTGTTTGTTTACCTAAAGGCTATTTCTTTTGTGTGTCTTATCTTTGTGTGTAGATCATGCAGCAAATGAGTGACCATCGCTACGACAAACTGACGTTGCCTGATGACCTCGCTGCCAACTGCCTCTACATGAACCTACCCAATAAGGGACATGTGCTGCTTCACCCCACTGCAGAGGAGTTTCCAGAGAGTGTCACGGTAATCCTCAATTCATTTCACTTCCACAGTGACTCGCACACAATCACACTCTCCTTTACAATCCTGAGGTTACACCTTGGGAGAAAGGACAGCCAGACTGGTTTAGTGGCTTACATTTAAAGAGCACTTGCCTTTGTTGCTCTCCATCCTGTCCAGACCTCTGAGATAAACAAAGCCTGCAGAATATACAGTATGTGGTAATTTTACACAGACTGCTGCAGGTCAGCCACAGCCAGCACTGCGTTTTATAACAAAAGGAACTTACAATTTTTATGAAGTGACCTTTTGTGGACTTGACACAGTACATAGAAGGGGAGCCAGAAACTTTGGGTGTCTTTTTCCTCACAACTTTTACAGTTAGTAGATTTAAAAACAATCTTGAATATGCCCAAATCAATCTCTGAATCTCAACATAAAGTCTTTAAGACATGCTTTTAGCCCGACAGCTTTACTGTTTGGGCTCACCACTGTCATAAGTGTAATTTCCAGGCACAGCAGGCAAGTAAAGTTACTTGCTTTCAGACAGAACATTGTCTTTTTTCACCTATGGTGGCCAAGTTGGTACTTTTTCAGGAACTCATTATGTAATTTCAAATGGATATTGATGTGTTAGTCCGACCACTTTCCAGTCCTTATAGCATGTGCCCTTTGTTAAACTGTTAAGTACTGTATGCTGGCTTAATGTACCTGGCTAAACTCATCTCAGTGTCTCATTTCCTGAACACAAGACCCTTTCTGAAATATCTTTCTGACATACTGTCTTTCTTCAGTTTTTTAAAACCACAAGATGTGCATTTACTGTAACACATGACACATTGGCTTCCACAGTAGTTCATGAATGACATATTATTATCTCACTTTGCCTGTTGGTTTGGCACGGTTCAGCAGTAGCCGTTTCACTGAGGTGCTTTGGGGTCAATCCTCTTCACATCAAGTCAAACGGATTCTCACAGGATCAAAGCCAACACCCTACAATCTGCAGAGACAGTGCTCAGACCTCAAATGTACTCTGTGGTTAAAACCCCTATCCTCCGCTAGCTAATTTTAGAGGGAAGAATTCACAAAATGATACGTCTTCAGACCTACAGTCACAACGAAGGCTCAGTTTTTTCCAGGAAGATTAACTGGGAATTCAACTTGAGCATAATAAAATCTATTTGTGTATATTCTGCTTCCTGCAGAGGAAGCACCTATTTAACGGACCATTTAGAGCAATATTTGAGGAATGTATGTTTGTTCCATGATCCAGTTTCCTTTATAATGTTCAGACCCACCAAGCATTTGCCTAGAACCCATTTGAACCAAACCTGTGTTTAAGGAATTGCTGTTAGAAGAAAGTGGAAAAACATTAATAGCATATAGTTGATAGTTGATTATCATGCCTTGCTTTTCTGCAAATCCAGAGTTTGTACCCGTTTCCCAAGGGAGCTTGTTGCTTCAATTCAATTCAAAACCTTTATTTATCCAGGTAAAATCCCATTGAGATCAATGATCTCTTTTTCAAGGGAGACCTGCAGCAGTAGGTTCCACAAGAAGACATAAAAACATAAACAACAGAACAACAAAAGGACATCATACAGCAAAATGTACAGAGATTACAATTTACATATTTAACCACATGTACAGGTACCAATAGCATCTGATTTTGTAGCATCCAACCGAGCTTTAAAAACATGTAGTGGTACTAGCTTGGTAATTTTCCATTCTTTTTGCAGACTGTTCCATGTTAGTGGAGCTGCACATCTAAAAGCTTTCTTCCCTAAGACAGTCCTAGCACTTGGCACATTTAATAAAACCACAGCATGCGATCTCAGGCAATAAGTACTTTCAATTCGCAGAGAGATCAGGGAGCAGATATAAGATGGTAGTTTATCTAACATGGCTTTGTAAATGAAAAAGTACCAGTGACTGAGCCTCCGTACAGTAAGTGATGGCATAACTGCCTTGGTATACAGGGTACAGTGATGCGTAAGTGCTTTACAATTTGTCAAAAATCTCAGTGCACTGTGATACGCAGCATCTAACTTGCTCAGGTAATTGGCAGGTGCATTCATATATAACAAATCACCATAATCTAGCACAGGTAAATAGGTCACAGTGACTAGCCTTTTCCTGGCCTCAAGCGAGAAACAGGACTTATTTCTGTAAAAGAAACCTAGCCTAACCCTCAGCTTTTTAAGCAGGTTATTGACATGAAGTTTAAAAGTGAGACAGTCATCAAGCCAGATACCAAGGTATTTGTAACAGGTAACCACTTCAAGTTGTATTGCTTCTTCCTCCAATGAGATTAAGCACAATTAACTCTGCAAGACTGCAGGAATTTCAGGTCTATTTTTAGTCTGCTTGTGAAGTTACATAAGAGTTCCCCTTTAACAAAGGCAGGGGGTCATGAGGGAGGATTGGTGGGGATAAGGGGGTGGAGACGGGGCATCTTTAATGGTTAGAAGTGGCGACAGCCTGAGCTCAGTTTAGAGATAAAGAAACCGTGCAGACAAAAGGCTGGGTGAAATATAGCTGCTCCTACTGTGTGGGACCATGCCACCCGTTGACCCAACATATAAATATCTACTGCAGTAATGAGAACTCTAAAAATTAGAAAAAGAGACACTTTGGAGGTGGAGATGCTATAAACAGCAGGGGGGTTGTTTTGGGGGAATTATGCAAAACTTTCCCTGAGTTGACCCTGTGGTCACGTGGTCTGAAAACTGTTTTTTGGATGGCGGTGTCACTGGGTTCTTCCAAATCTTGATTCCTCAAACTGTTTCTTGTGCACCACTGCTGGTGTGCCAAGCTGGGGCGACCTGTGGCTACCGCAATTTTAACAACCCTCTCAGTCACTTGTCCTTAGTGTCGGAATAACATAGTGTAATGTTTACTCACACATTAGTAATATGCCCCCCCACAGCATACCTAGAAATTCACTTGTTCAGATGTGTTCAGTGGTCCTTCTGCCGTCACCATATAGCTGACCATTTTTTGGGAAACATTTATATAGATATATTACATATTATTATAAATAGATATAGATATATATATAAAATTAAGCATGAACACAATATTTGTAAGTGGTATAATGTTGTAACAGAGCTGTATGTTGGCACTGTGCCACAGTTTAAGTTACTTGATGAGGGCCCTGGGCCTCGTTTGTAAACGGTGCGTACGCTCAAAAGATGGCGTACGCCAGTTATGGAGTCAGATTTGGGTCAATATTCTAGCGCGCAAAACAAGCTACTCACGAGCGGAAAATGTGCTTTTACACACGCATGAAATTACCCTCGTGCGCAGATTAAACCCCCGCGAGCGGCTAGGCGCTCGCGAGAGAGACAGCCCTCTTGCTCGCTCGCGGGAGTGTCTTGCTCGCTCGCGGGAGTGTCAGCCTCACTCGCTCGCGGAGTCTGTCTTCGCGCACTTGAAAAGTTTCTGACACTTTGGGGCGGAGCCACTGGGCTTTGATTGACAGCTGCCAGGAAAACTGAAGTTGCCAGGTTTGATAAATGCCTGAACTACCAAGAGCCGAGGAGTGACAGCAGCAAGATCAGTTGGACGAGATTGAATGGTAAAGTTGTCCATAAAAAACCATTACATTTGTAAAGTGTAATATATATATATATATATATATATTAGGGCTGTCAAGTTAACGCGTTAATAACGCGTTAACGCAAAAAAAAATTAACGCCACTAATTATTTTAACGCGATTAACGCATGTGTATTTGTTTTCCTCGGCCACCCCGTAGTTTCAGAGCGCATCGAGTTTAAAATACCATCTACAAGCTGATGCTGACAGCCCCGCTCCTGCCGCCCGCTTGTGGCAGACCACACTTCCACGCTCACCGGCAGGCACCGACTGGCTATTGGGAGGACCGGGAGGGTGTGTGTATGTGTGGCTCGAGCGAGCGAGAGAGAGACCTTGCGTGCATTGTTGTTGTTATTATCTGGTGCTAGCTAGCTGCGCTAACGGATATAAGGAGCTGCTTAAATGAAAACAGAGGAGCGACATTTCGCCGACAACTGCGCCGAGCACTTGACTTTATGCAGGAAGCCAGACAGTGGGACATTGTACGAGAAGTCAGCACACTCAGCACGGATAGTGCAACATGATTGCAGCGTCCAGGCAGCTCCCGTTCGAGCATATGCCTTGAGTTGCTCATAGCTCCAACGATCCATCTCACTCACTCACTCACACACACACACACACACACACACACACACACACACACACACACACACACACACACACACACACACACACACACACACACACACACACACACACACACACACACACACACACACACACACACACACACACACACCATTTTTATTGTATTAGGTTCCAGGTTGAATTGAGGCGAATATTTGTAATGTTCAGAAGTTGTTGTGTTTAATATTCATGAGAATATTTGTCATTGTTCAAATTATAATAAACATTAGCATAAAGCATATTTGTCCACTCATATGTTGATAAGAGTATTAAAAACTTGAAAAATATTCCTCTAAGGTACATTTAAAACAGATCAAAAATGTGCGATTAATTTGCGATTAATCGCGATTAACTATGGACAATCATGCGATTAATCGCGATTAAATATTTTTAATCGACTGACAGCCCTAATATATATATATATATATATATATATATCAATTAATTTTATATAAAACAATATATTTTTGAGTGGGCTGTATCTGTCGAAAACTGCTTGCTACTGTCTGCTGTACGCACCTCCCTTACGAAATGAACTATAAATGAACTATAGTATTACTATAGTATACTATAAGAGTTGTATAGTGTCTTATAGCCAATTGCCGTGGTGCGAGAGTGATCAGTCCAGTTGTAATCAAAGCTCCCTATGCTGATGGTGATACAGTGGCTTCCTCAGCTAAAATGTCTCTGATTAATGCACGCTCTGTTGCAAACAAGGCTCACACTTTAAATGACTTGTTTGTAAGGGAGAATTTGTCCTTCTTATTCCTGACTGAAACGTGGAAACGGAATATGGAA